AACTCAGAGCATTCTGTGACCAGTGGTAGATTTCAGGGAATTGTACATCCTCTCTGTTGGCCAAAGGTAAACATGATGTGTAAATAAGTTGACTCAGTGTGTTCTATCCACACAAACAGAGTATTGGAGAAATCATAAACATCAGTCCAGTCAACTCATAACTATTTGTTTTAGGGCTATTTGAAGTGATGACGACACTGAAGAAAGTAACTTACGACTGTTTTTTTCAGACTTGTGACCGTTGCAACCTCCCCGTGGTCACGTGATCAAAATTCAGACCCTTAGTACCCTGACTCATATTTATAGCAATAGCACTTAGACTTCTATACTGTTTTCACAGAGCTTTCCAGCCCTCTCTAAGTGGTTTTACAGAGTCAGCCGCTTGCCCCCAAGAATCTGGGTCCTCGTTTTACTGACTTTGGAAGATTGGAAGGCTAAGTCAACTTTGAGCCGGTCAGGATCGAACTCCTGGCTGTGGGCAGAATTAGCTTGCAATGCTGCATTCTAACCACTGCAAACCATGGAAGGGAAGGGGAAGGGAAGGGAAGGGAAGGGAAGGGAAGGGAAGGGAAGGGAAGGGAAGGGAAGGAGTAAAGAAAGAACAATAGCAATAGCACTTAGACTTCTATACCACAGTGCTTTCCAGCCCGCTCTAAGTGGTTTACAGAGTCAGCCTGTTGCCCCCAACAATCTGGGTCCTCATTTAACCACCTCGGAAGGATGGAAGACTGAGTCAACCTTGAATCAGTCAGGATTAAACTGCTGGCAGTGGGCAGAGTTAGCCTGCAATGCTGCATTCTAACCACTGCACACCATGGATGGATGGATGGAAGGAAGGAAGGAGAAAAGGAAGAACAATAGCAATAGCAATTAGACTTATATACCGCTTCACAGTGCTTCACAGCCCTCTTTAAGTGGTTTACAGAGTCATCATATTGCCACCACCATTCTGGGTCCTCATTTTACCCATCTTGGAAGGATGGAAGGCAGAATCAATCTTGAACCAGCCAGGATTGAACTCCTGGCAATGGGCAGAGTTGAAGGAAAGAAGAAGAAAGGAAGGAAGGAAAGGAAGGAAGGAAGGAAGGAAGGAAGGAAGGAAGGAAGGAAGGAAGGAAGGAAAAGCAATAGCTCTTATATACCACTTCACAGTGCTTTCCAGCACTCTCTAAGCAGTTTACAGAGTCAGCCTCTTGCCCCCTACAATCTGGGTCCTCATTTTAACCCCCTCGGAAGGATGGAAGGCTGAGTCAACCTTGAGCCTGGTGAGATGTGAACTGCCAAATTGCAGGCAGCCTGCAGTCAGCAAAAGTAGCCTGCAGTACTGACCTCTAACCACTGACGTTTCGCTTCTATGAAGACGTTTCGCTTCTGTTTCAGTTTCAGTTTATTTAGATTTATATACCGCCCTACTCCCGAAAGTCTCAGGGCGGTGAACAGCCAAAGATAAAACAGATACAATATAAAATTTAAAAAACAATTTAAAAACATATTAAATAAATTTGGCCCATACTAATTAAAACACCCCTGTTTTTAAAAACAAATTAAAATTAAACAATTAAAAAGACTTAGGCCAGTCCCGCTTGTTGAAATAAAAAAGTCTTGATGGCACGGCGGAAAGTGCGCAAATCCGGGATCCTCCGTATCTCCGGGGGGAGCTCGTTCCAAAGGGCAGGTGCCTCCACAGAGAAGGCTCTCCCCCTGGGGGCCGCCAGTTGACACTGTTTGGCCGACGGCACCCTGAGGAGCCCCTCTCTGTGGGAGCGTACTGGCCAGTGAGAGGCTACCGGTGGCAGAAGGGGGTCTCGTAGGTACCCAGGTCCTGAGCCATGGAGCACTCTAAAGGTGGTAACCAATACCTTGAAGCGCACCTGGAAGACCACCGGGAGCCAGTGCAGCTCACGCAGGAGAGGTGTTACATGGGAGCGCCACGTCGCTCCCATAACCACCCTCGCGGCCGCATTCTGGACCAGTTGGAGCCTCCGGGTGCTCCTCAAGGGGAGCCCCATGTAGAGAGCATTACAGTAGTCCAGGCGGGAAGTGATGAGGGCGTGAGTGACCGTGCATAAGGAGTCCCAATCCAGAAAGGGACGCAACTGGCGGATCAGGCGAACCTGATAGAAAGTCCCCCTGGCCACAGCCGTAAGATGCTCTTCTAAAGACAGCCGTGAATCCAGGAGGACGCCCAAGTTGCGAGCCCTCTCCGCGGGGGGCCAACGACTCGCCCCCAATAGTCATTGATGGCACCAACTGACTATATCGGGACGCCGGAAACCACAGCCACTCGGTCTTGGACGGGTTGAGCCTGAGTCTGTTTCTCCCCATCCAGATCCGTACGCTTCTCATCCAGGAAGCTTCTTCAGCTCTTGCAGAAGATGACATTTCGCTTCTATGAAGATGTTTCGCTTCTCATCCGGGAAGCTTCTTCAGCTCTTGCAGAAGATGACATTTCGCTTCTATGAAGATGTTTCGCTTCTCATCCGGGAAGCTTCTTCAGCTCTTGCAGAAGATGACATTTCGCTTCTATGAAGACATTTCGCTTCTCATCTGGGAAGCTTCTTCAGCTCTTGCAGAAGATGACATTTCGCTTCTATGAAGACGTTTCGCTTCTCATCTGGGAAGCTTCTTCAGCTCTTGCAGAAGATGACGTTTCGCTTCTATGAAGATGTTTCGCTTCTCATCTGGGAAGCTTCTTCAGCTCTTGACGAAGAAGACATTTCGCTTCTATGAAGATGTTTCGCTTCTCATCCGGGAAGCTTCTTCAGCTCTTGCAGAAGAAGACGTTTCGCTTCTATGAAGATGTTTCGCTTCTCATCCGGGAAGCTTCTTCAGCTCTTGACGAAGAAGACATTTCGCTTCTTTGAAGGCGTTTCACTTCTCGTCCAGGAAAGCTTCCCGGATGAGAAGCGAAAAGTCTTCAAAGAAAAACCAAGGAAGTCCAGTTGCTTATCGGGGGGGAAAAAAGCACCTCTGGCGCTCTGAGACAACCTTGACCTGGATGACAAGGAATCTTCATAGACAAGAAAACGGGGGATTTTTCAAACCCCGTTCCAAGATTTATTTGCATACATTCCAACACGGCACCGGTAAGCATCTGTGACCTGGTTTGGTGGCTTTTGGCACTGCAGTGCGAGCGAAGTGAATCATTTGGGAGAATGCGCCATAACTGGCTTTTTCACGTGGGTGTGAACCTGGCAAAGAGTGTCTTTTTTTCCCTAAGTTGCCGTTGGAAGCAAAGCGTGTCCTTGGGGCAGGGTTTAAAAGTGGTAGACGTACAAACCTGTTTCTGCACAAAGTGGGATCCCTCCAGTATTAAAAGCCTTAACTAATCATTAAAACATTCTTAAGACAATTTACAATCCCCTCCAGGATGCGTGAATCTGTGGCATTGGGATCGTAGAAACACCCAGGAGCATAGAAGAGTTCAGAGGCAGAGGCATAAATAAATGTCTTAAACGTATTTATTCATATGATAAATCATATTCACTATGTACAACAGAGATCAAGTCTCATGAGGAACAAACATGAAGAGAGAGAGAGGGAGAGAGCAAGTGAGGTGGAAAAGGTTGGAGGGGGTTTTATACTCAGGGTAAGCCCCTCCTTTCCACATAGGGGTGGAGACACTCTCTGCCTCCACTGGTGTCTGTATGACACATGTGCCAATGGCTTGCAAATACTTGACAGAATCACAATGATTCAACAGCCAGAAGCACAAAACAAAAGGGAGCCAAAATTTGTGCAGCAATGGAGGTCATTGGTGATAAGCAGGACATTTTATTTATGTTATTTATTTATTCAATTTATATGCCCGCCTCTCTCCGAAGACCCAGGGCGGCTCACAATACACTCAAAAAAATCACTATAAAAACACTTAAAAATTAAAAACATTAAAATCCATTCACACCATTCATGGCCGGATCTCGTCAGATCGCAAAGTGAGATCAACGGCCCCAGGCCTGACAGAAATGCCAGGTCTTCATCGCTTTTCGGAAGGCCAATATCTCCAACATCTCTGGAGGTTAATTCTGTTGTTTTTTTTTCCCAAGCGTTGACTTTTTAAAAAAACGAATGTCAATATGGGTAGTCCTTGACTTACAGTCATTTCTTTAGCGACCGTTCAAATTTACAACAGCACTGGGGGGGGGGAAAGGTGACTCGCAGCAAATCCTCGCACTTATGACCATGATGTACATCGCCAAAAGTTGGGTGCTTGGCAACCTATTACAATAGTTGCACCATTTGTGATCTACCCAGCAGGCTTCCAACAAGCAGAGTCCATGGGGGGGGAGGGGGGGGGAAGCCGGATTCGCTTAATGACATGATTCACTTAACAACTGCAGTGCTTTGCTTAACACCATGGCCAAAAAAAAGAGAAAGAGGTCGTGAAATTGGGCGTGACTCACTTAACAACCACCTTGCTGTTGGGAAATTCTGGCTCGGTTTCTGGTCGTAAGTCGAGGGCTACCTGCGGTCTGCATATTAACCCGGGAGCAATGCAGGATGATGAAGAAAGGGGAGGAAAAAAAACCCACAAGCGATAGGCCTGTTTTTCCAGTGAAAAGGCGTGAATTAACGTATCGTGAATTAACTTGTGTGTCAACTTGCAAAGCTTTCAAGTTGCCATGAGCAGGAGGGAGGGAGAACTGAAGTGCATTCCATACATTTTTCCTGACCGCAATCAGAAGGAGGGTGTTAGGTTTCACAGCTAGCCAAAGTGGTTAATTGGAGAATGTGATTTATGACATGGCCAGAGAGGAGGGGAGAGACAGGGTCATAGGGAAACGTAAATCTACGTGGGATCAGTCCTAACTGCATCCAAGTATTGCCGGAATGTTGCTCCTAATAAATGGCTATATTTCGTTTGAAGTTTGGATCATGGCTCATGAATTAATTAGGGCATCTTTCGGAAACTTGACATTGTGTTTGTTCACTGGTTTGTCTTTAAAATCAGCTGGTAAGGATCAGCTGTCAGTTCTGACCCGTGTTCGTTACAATTGCAGAATACCAGAATTGATCCTGACAGTGCCATGTACACCTTGTGGAAAGACCTCCCCGTTCCCTTCTACATCTCATTCTACTTCATGGAGGTGATGAATTCCAAGGACGTCCTTCTAGGCGCCAAGCCGGTTGTCAGCCAGCGGGGCCCTTACGTCTACAGGTGCGCACTGATCTCTTGGCTTGGCTCGCAGGTGGTTGGGGTGGGGGGTCTTGGCAGGACGGGAGGGCAGGCCAAGGAGAAGGAGCTAATGGGGAAGGGGAAAGGAGAGGAAGGAAGGAAGGAAATGAAGGGAATAGAGAGAGGGAGGGAGGGAGGGAGGGAAGGAAGGAAGGAAAGAAAGCTAAGGAGAAAGAAGAAAAAAAGGGAGAGAGGGTAGGTGCGAGACAGGAAGGGAAGGAGGGCAATGAAATAGATGGAAGAAAGGAAATGGAGAGAAGGAAGGAAGGGAATAGAGAGGGAGGGAAGGAAGGAAAAGAAAGGGAGGGAGGCAGGAAGGAGGGAGGACAATGAAACGGGAGGGAGGGAGGGAGAGAGGGAAGGAGATGGAAGGAAGGGAAAGAGTCAGAGGAAAGAGGGAGGGCAATGAAATGGGATGTAGGAAGGAAGGAGGAGGGAGGGAAGGAAGGAAGGAAAGGAAAGGAAAGGAATAAAGAAAAAGAAAGAAAAAGAAAAGAAAAAAGAAAAAGAATTTAGCTGCAGTTCTTCATGCTACCCAAATTGAATTCTTGAGGTGTTTTATTGCCTTGCTTGATACATCAGGAAGGCCAGTTTGGAATAAATCCTTAGTATGTTTGAGTAACCAAGATAAACAACACACTTCATCGCCAGCTGTAAGTATGGGTCACATCCACATCTACATAACCAAGCTATAATTTTGATCTCGGGCAAAACCAGCTTGATTGAGTCAAACATGGTCAAATCGCCCAGGATAATCACACTCAGCCCAAAGAGGAAGATTTTTCCAGAACTGAATGTTAATCAAATCATTTGCAAAGCATTTAGGAAGGGTTATGCACTCAGATGCCTTCCTTGTTTAATTCTAATGCAAATTAAATTATAGCTTTTCCTGAAGGTGATTAAGCCGATAAAGGAAGAGCCATATCGTTATTACAGTTTATGGGTTCCCATTGTTGTTGTTGTTAATGTATTGTCCTTTCTGGAGTGTGTTTCTGGATAGTTATTTTAAGTCTTGTTTTCAGCAGTTTTGCTCCTGGTGATATGAAATTTGTGTCTTAGTTTCAATTCCTTCCTTCCTCCTCCGCACCTCCCTCCCTCTCGTCCTTCTTCCCTTCCTTTCTTTCTTCTTTTGTATTCTTCCTTCCTTCCTCCCCACCTCCCCACCTAGCTACCTACCTACCTTCCTTCTTCCCTTCCTTCCTCTCTTCCTTCTTTCCTCCCTTTCTTCCTTCCCTTTCTTTTTCTTTCTTTCTTTTCTTTCTTTCTTTCCTTCCTTCTTCTTCTCCTTCCTTCCTTCCTTCCTTCTTTCTTTCTTTCTTTCTTCCTTCCTCCCACCTACCTACCTACTACCTACCTACCTTCCTTCTTCCCTTCCTTCCTCTCTTCCTCTCTTCCTTCTTTCCTCCCTTTCTTCCTTTTCTTTCTTTCTTTCCTTCTTTCCTTCCTTCTTTCTTCCTTCCTTCCTTTCTCCCCACCTACCTACCTACTTACCTACCTACCTACCTTCTTCCCTCCCTTCCTCTCTTCCTTCTTTCCTCCCTTTCTTCCTTCTTTCTTTCTTTCCTTCCTTCCTTCTTTCTTCCTTCCTCCCCCCTACCTACCTACCTTCTTCCCTTTCTTTCTTTCTTTCTTTCTTTCTTTCTTTCTTTCTTTCTTTCTTCAATTAGACTTTTAGCATGACCGAGGAATCTCTTCTTAAACGGATTTATGCCCAATGCTTCTAGCATTATATAGCAACTACGTGGAAGTCTTTCTACTGAATCCTCCCCTCTGTGTCTTCCACGCAAATACAACTCCCCCAGGACCTTTTTCTCTTGTGGGGAAGAGAAATCAGTTCCTTTAAAAAAATGAAAACTCATTGCACAAACATGCATACATACATACATACATACATACAAACACACAAGAGTGAAGAAACAGTCACAAAAATGTCGATTTGAGGGCTGGAAAAGAGCTGACGGTTAGAATCTTTCCAAAGATTGAGCGGGGCAACTTTTCCACATCTCCAGAACCTTTTTTTAAAAAACTGGGTTAAATAATTGCCCCAAGTAGAAGATGGCGGGAAATTAGGAAAGTTTCAAAATTATGCCCATTTTTCTAAGCTGTTGTTTAAAGCAGGGCTCTCCCACCTTGGCAACTTTAAGACTTGTGGACTTCAACTCCCAGCTGGCTGAGGAACTCTGGGAGTTGAAGTCCACAAGTCTTAAAAGTTGCCAAGGTTGGAGAGCCCTGCTTTAAAGTCAGGATGCGAAAGTTTGTACACTATATGCAGCTAGTGAGATGAAATGTCAGTCAGAGGAGGAGAAAAAGAAGGAGGAGGAAGAGGAGAAGGAAAAGGAGGAGGAGGAGGAGAGGGAGGAGGAGGAGGAAGAGGAGGAGGAGGAGGAGAAAAAGGAGGCGAGGAGGAGGAGGAGGAAGAGAAGAAGAAGAGGAAGGAAGAGAAGGAAAAGAAGAAGAGGAGGAGGAGAGGAGAGGGAGGAGAAAAAGAAGGAGGAGGATAAGAAGATGAAGAAGAGGAGGAGGAGGAAGAGGATGAGAAAAAGGATGAGAAGAAGAGAAAGATGATGATGATGATGATGATGATGGTTTGACAATGATTTAATTACAGATTTATGATAAGCCATCCAATTCCACTTTTGGGGCAAATGTTTGCAAAGCATAGCAGTTGCTTAACCGACCCCCATCACAGAGCAGAGGCCAGCTCCACCCCTTTTACACAACACAGCTGAGGACAATTACATTTGGCACATTTGGAAGGCCCAATCCATGCAACTGGTGGAATTTCTGCCTGCCTTGCATCAGCGGCTCATTGGTGGAGCAAAGTGCCAAGGATTGTTAGCCTCCCCACGTGAGAGAGGTTACAAAATAGGCCCCCAGGGTGAAGGCTTGTGACTCACTGTTTTTATACTCCCTGTTAAGTAAGCATAAATGTGTTATAATTCCCAGAATTTATTCCCAGCCCAAGGGCAATTCCCTTCCACCAATGGAAGGAACAATGTGTAAGGCTGAACCGGGACAGGCATTACCATTCATGTTTACTATTGCTGGTTTGATTGCATTTCTTCACACTGGTGTAAGCACCAAGTTCTTCACACTTGGTGCTCTCTGAGTGGGTTGTTTGCTTGCAGATGTTTCATAGTTGGCTAAAGTAGGTCACACCATCAATGCAAGGAACAAGTGACAGTAGAAAAGCCAAGCAAAACAGAAGGACTAAAACCAGCAGCCCAGATAATCGGCGATTAACACCAGACAAAAGAGCAGGTAGAAAACAATTCCCTAATCCATAACTGACCAAAGATGAAACCATACCGCCACTAACACCGACAGGACAATCTTCCGTATATAACCAGGAATGAAACTCCACACTTCTTCACACTGATGATGTGACCTAGCTGGCAAAGAAAACACCTGCAAGAAAATTACCAAACTCGGGGAGCACCAAGGAGCCCAGAATCCTCCGTCTCTTCCACTCTACAAATCCCACTCCCTTCTAGTACTGATGATATTATCTACTTGCAAGAAAATATGCAAGGACCATACAGTCCTCCGCCTCCTCTCCGTCCTCCTCCTCCCCTCCTCAGAACTCCCCCACTTTTCTAGCACTGATGATGTTGCCTAACTTGGTCTTCAAGAAAACAACCAAGCTCAGAGAGCACCAAGAACCCCAGAGTAGTCGTCGTCCTCCTCCTCCTCCTCCCTCTCCTCCTCCTTGCAAACTCCTCTCCCTTTTAGCACTGATGATGGGTTATGAAACTTCTGCAAGTAAACCACCAAGCTCAGAGAACCCCAAGGACCTCACAGTTGTCCTTGTCCTCGTCCTCCTCCTCCTCCTCCCTACAAACCCCACTCCCTTCTAGCACTGATGCTGTTGCCTAGCTTGGTAATGAAATGTCTGAAAAAAAACCCACCAACCTCAAGCAGCATCAAATCTCAACCCTCCGTTACAGAAATTCCCTTCTATTGAAACACTGGTAAAAACAAATCCGTACAATTAAACCTATTTTGAGATTGCTACGAAAAACCAAGCGGAGGAATGACAAAGCAAGGAATTTTCTCGGGCTGCGTAGGTCAGGGGAAGCCACTCCACTCATGCCTAGTTGTACCAGTTTTCAGAAAAGACAGAAACAAAGACAGAACTTGGCACCATCTTACAAGGGAAAACCTCAACTTTTTAAGAGCAGACTGTTTGCAGCTGCTAAATTTGGATGCAAGGCTGAGCCCAGTCTGTCTTTTTCGGTTTGGACTGAGGGAGGATGCTGGTTTCTTTCCAAGACTGGAAACAACTGTCTGGATCTTCTTTTCTTATTTTTCAATTTAGCGTCACTCTATCATCCATCCAAACGTATGAAGTTCTATTCATTAAATTTGCACCTAATAACAACCGCAAACCCTCCAGCCTGGGCTTGTGGTGAACAGAGCCTGGATCCCTTGTAAAATAAAATTGTCGGAAAGCAAGAAGCTCCTTTTGTTTGATTTTAATCCAAGTCCCTGCAACCACGGGCCTCATTTAAACGGAAGCCAAAATGAAATTATTGGTTTTACCTGCCATTTAGAAGGACGTCTCTTTCCTGCTTAAATGGGGGGTTTAAATCACGGGGGGGGAGCCCTTCTAACTCCTGATTTGTTTTGTCGTGTTCTGTGTCTCTTGCAGGGAATACAGGCAGAAAAAGAACATTACTTTCCATAGTAACGATACCGTCTCCTTTCTGGGTTATCGCTCCTTCGTCTTCGAACCGGACCGTTCCAACGGATCGGAATCCGATTACATCATGATGCCGAATCTCTTGGTTTTGGTAAGTGGGCTTCCAATTCTGGGGATCTTCAACCCATCTTCACAGAACAGGTGCTGTTTCTGGATTTTTTTGTGCAAAGGCTTAATTTTTCACCGATTTTGGTTTTCTTCCAATTTTGGGCTTCACCTAGCAACATGTTCCCCTGAAGAATGATTGACCCTACTTGCTTTTCATAAAGTCAGATAAGACTGTTCTATCCAGTGGTGGGATTCAGCCGGTTCGGGCTGGTTTGGGAGAACCACTTGGTTAAAATGCTGGCTGGCTCCGCCCCACCCCTTCCAGGAGTTCCCACGCACCCCGTTTTGGCTCCCAGGTCCAAAACGGGGTGTGGGGGTGGCAGCCGAGTGCTTCCTGTCGCAACCCCTGGTCATGCCCACCCAGCCGGTAATTAGGGCAGAAGGTTGTTAAATTATTTGAATTCCACCAATGGTTTTCACAGTTGCAATGTATGGTTGTGAAGTTGGACCATAAGGAAGGCTGAGCACCAAAGAATGGAGGCCTTTGAACTCTGGTGCTGGAGAAGACTCCTGCGAGTCCCTTGGACTGCAAGGCGATCCAACCGGTCAGTCCTAGAGGACATCAACCCTGACTGCTCTTTAGAAGGCCAGATCCTGAAGAGGAAGCTCAAATACTTTGGCCACCTAATGAGAAGGAAGGACTTCCTGGAGAAGAGCCTAATGCTGGGAACGATGGAGGGCAAAAGAAGAAGGGGATGGCAGAGAACGAGGTTGCTGGATGGAGTCACTGAAGCAGTCAGCGTGAGATTAAATAGTCTCCAGGGGATGGTAGAGGACAGGAAGGCCTGGAGGAACATTGCCCATGGGGTCACAATGGGTCGGACACAACTTTGCAACTAACAACAACAGCAACAACAATCCTAGCAACTGTGGTGGCTAGGCTTCATTGTATTATTACACAGATTGTATTATTTATGACACAGATTGTTGGTTTTGTTTCCCCTTGGTGTGCAAAGTCTTGGTGGAAGAGGGCGATCTGCAAATATTGCAGAGAATTCGGTAAACAAATACTTGCAATCTTCTACAGGATTGCAGGAAAAAGATGAACAGATTCCAGAATTTCTCTCGATGTTTCAGAAACGAAAATCCAAGGTCACCAAAGAATTGATTCTTTGCCTGCTAATGGCTACAAGAATTTTTCTCGATGCCCGAGATCCAGTGCTAATCTTTGCATACTTAGAAATAAATACAGTTTGTTGATTGCGGTATTTACAGACGCCATTTTCTTTGAAGGCCAAAGGGAAGATATGGGGTTATTTCTGTTAAGGAGAAATGTTACTTATACAAGGGGATTCTCCATGTAATTTCTGACGATCCCCAGATCCTCTCAAACAATTGGAGGTTGATGAGTGAGAATCTTAGGAATCGACACATAATGATAAGTCATGGTTTTGTTTAAATGACAAATCAAGGCTTGAACTATCTCGCTTTGCATGTAATGAGTCTATCTCATATATTAGTTTCACCTTTTAAGTTGCATTACTGAAATAAATTAACTTTTGCACCATATTCTAATTTTTCAAGTTTCACCTGTACTTCTCAAGGCGTGTGCCCAAACAGCACCAGATGGAGATCACCTCCTCAGTGGAACACAAACTGGATAGCAGTTAGGAAAGGCACCTCCAAATAGGCTGACTCTGATTCCGGGTTTTATTTTTTACTATTAATTTATTAATTAATTATTTGGATTAAAATGGGATTTTATTGTACTTGCTTCTTAACTTGTGTTCGCCGCCCTGAATCCTTCGGGAGAATGGAGGCATATAAATACATGTAATAAATAAATAAATAAATAAATTTATAGAATATGAGAATAACAGAGTTGGAAGGGACCTTGGAGGTCTTCTAGTCCAACCCCCTGCTGAAGCAGGAACCCTTATACCATTCCAGTAAGTCTAACAGACATTCACAGATCTTTCCTGAGACCCATGGAGAAGGTTCTTAGTGTGCTTTGCGGTAATGAGAAAACAGAGTTTGCATTTAGAATATAGAATAATCAGCTTGGAAGGCATTTCTTCTAGTCTAATTCCCTGCTCAAGGGCCTGGTGGCTCAGCAGACTAAAAGCATTGTGATTAACACCAGCTGCCTGCAATTACTGCAAGTTCGAATCTCACCAGGCTCAAGGTTGACTCAGCCTTCCATCCTTTCTAAGGTGGGTAAATTGAGGACCCAGTTTGTGGGGGCAATAAGCTGACTTTGTAAAAATATACAAAAGTATGAAGGCTATTGCTTAACGCATTGTAAGCCGCCCTGAGTCTCCGGAGAAGGGCGGCATATAAATCAATTTTTTTTAAAAAAAGCAAGAAAATCTACACCATTTCAGGCAAACAGCTGTCCAATCTCTTCTTGAAGATCTCCAGAGATGGACCGCCCAAAATCTCTGTACGCAAGCCGTTCCACTGATTAAATTAAGTCAATTAATTAATTGTATTTATTTATTTATTTATTGGTTCGATTTATATGCCGCCCTTCTCCGGAGACTCAGGGCGGCTTACAATGCGTTAAGCAATAGCCTTCATACTTTTGTATATACCTGCTTAGTAGGGCTTTCGGGGGCCCTTAAGCAGTGTTCTTTTTTATACAAAGTCAGCTTATTGCCCCCCAATCCAGGTCCTCATTTTACCCACCTCGGAAGGATGGAAGGCTGAGTCAACCTTGAGCCTCTCAGGATCGAATTGCAGGCAATGGGCAGAATTATTCTGCAATATACGCTCCCACAGAGAGGGGCTCCTCCGGGTGCCATCGGCCAAACAATGTCGACTGGCGGCCCCCAGGGGGGAGAGCTTTCTCTGTGGGAGCACCTGCCCTCTGGAACGAGCTCCCCCTGGAGATACGGACGATTATATACCGAAGGGCGGTATATAAATTTAAATATTAAATTAAATTAAAAATTAAATTAAATACTGAATTTGGATGGATGGATGGTAGACAGACTAGACAGAGAGACAGATATGGAGAGAGAGAGAGAGAGAACAATGAGAGACAGAAAGTTAGATAGACATAGAGAGAGACAGATATATAGCAATAGCAATAAAGACATATATATATACAGGCCTTTACAGCCCTCTCTAAGCAGTTTACAGAGCGTATTGCCCCCAACAATCTGGGTCCTCATTTTACTCACCTGGGAAGGATGGAAGGCTGAGTCAACCTTGAGCCGGTCAGGATCAAACTCCTGGCTGTCAGCAGAATTACCCTGCAATATGGCGTTCTGTGCACCATGGAAGGAATGGTGCATCATGGAAGGAAGAAAGGAAGGAAGGAAGGAAGGAAGGAAGGAAGGAAGGAAGGAAGGAAGGAAGGAAGGAAAAAGGAAAAGGAAGAGCAATAGCATTTAGACTTATATGCCGTTTTACAGTGTTTTCCAGCCCTCTCTAAGCGGTTTACAGAGTCAGCTTCTTGCCCCCAACAATCTGGGTCCTCATTTTACCCACCTCGGAAAGATGGAAGGCTGAGTCAACCTTGAGCCAGTCAGAATTGAACTGCTGGCAATCGGCAGAATTAGCCTGCAATCCTGCATTCTAACCACTGCGCCACCACGACCAGCTTCTAAAGCCATTCTTTCTGTTTGTTCTGATTCACTTTTTATTTTTCCTTCAAGGGAGCAGCCGTCATGTTGGAAAACATGCCGTTTGCCGTGAAGTTAACCTTCAGCAGCGCTCTGGCCCTCTTCCGTCAAAATGCATTCATGAACCGGACGGTTGGAGAGATCATTTGGGGGTACAACGAGCCCTTCACTCAGTTCTTGAGCAGCCTTGGTGTCACCGTAGGTCCATCCAATGAAAAATTCGGCTTATTTTCCGACGTAAGTCAAGTCCTTAGGGTTGGGGCCTGGGTCCAAACCTGAATACTTTGGGATCGAAATGGGCAGATATCCCCAAGAACAAAGACTTCCTACAAGAAAACTACAGCTATCGTATTCGTTGGAGCGAACGATTAGAAACTGCCTCCTATCAGTCATTTTTTTTAACCAAGTTGAAGGATGTACAGGGAGTCCTTGATTTATAGCACTTCATTTAGTGACCGTAGTTACAACGGGATTGGAAAAAGTGAAAAAAATGGCTGTTTTTCACACTTATGACAGTTGCGTGGTTATGTGATCAAAATTCAGATACTTGGAAACTGACTTGTATCCTTTCCCCCCAAAAGTAAGACATCCCCTGATAATAAGCCCAATCGGGCTTTTGAGGACATGCCCCCCCTGAAAATAAGCCCTCCCTGAAAATATTTAAATGCAGAGCTGGAAATCGGGTAAGACGGCAAGAGGAGCCCCCATCTTGCTCCACACACCCCAAAATAATAAGCCCTCCCCGAAAATATTTAAACACATGCACAAGCGGTCTCCGCCATTTCCTCTGGTTAGGGTTAGGGAGATAGAGCTGAAAATAATAATAACTTTAATAATAATAACTTTATTGTCATTGTATGTGTATACACAGTATACCCATACAACGAAATTCACTTAACACCCAAAGACCAGGTCCAACACACATAAAATCCCCAAACACATCCCCACCCACCACAAATTCCCCACCCCTAAATCGCCCAAACATCCGCACAGCAGACCAAGTAATGCTGTCCAACAGCTCAATAATGGTGGCCCTTTAGTTCAATGTTGAGTGCAATTATAGCTCTGGGATAAAAACTGTTCAGAAAATGTGCGGTCTGAGTTTTAGTTGTTCTGTATCTTCTGCCAGAAGGCAACAGTCCAAAAAGATGGTAAGCAGGATGGGAAGAGTCTCTGAGAAGGTTATGCAACTTTTTCAAACAGCGAGATGCGAAGATGTCGTCCAGGGCTGGTAGCTGGAGTCCGATGATATTCTGGGCAGTTTTAATGATTCTCTGTAGAGCTTTTTTGTCCGCTACAGAGCTGCTCCCATACCATGCAAGAATGCCGTATGTCAGGACACTCTCAATGGTGCTGCGGTAGTAGGACAGAAGTAGATGCTGAGATAGATTTATCTTCCTGAGCATTCTCAGGAAGTGCAGCCTCTTCTCTGCCTTCTTCACAAGCATGTTAGCATTCATAGTCCATGAGAGGTCCTTCGAGATATAAAATGCCCAGAAATTTAAAACTACCAGGAAATCCGGTAAGACGGCAAGAGGAGCCCCGTCTTGTTCCACGCGCCCCAAAATAATAAGACCTCCACGAAAACAAGGCCAAGCACTTATTTCGGGGTTCAAAAAAACATAAGACAGGGTCTTATTTTCGGGGAAACATGGTATTTATGACGGTGGCAGTGTCTCGGGTCCCCTTTTGCCAAGCCAAGTCATGGGGGAAGCTGGATTCACTTAATGTGACTAATTTAACAACTGCAGGGATTAACCACTGGCTAGTAAGGTTTTAAAATGGCTAGTAAGGTTTTAAAATGGGGCAAAACCTTCACTTTACAACTGTCTCGCTTAGCCATGGAAACATTAGGCTCAAGTGTAGTTGTAAGTCGAGGATTTTTGAGTGCTGGATGTTACTCTGATGCTAGCCACTTCATCATGGTCACCTTCCAAATTAACATACAGGAGGTGTTTGCGCTGGTGCAACCTGTTTGGGGAAATCCTGCCACGATTTCTATCTTAACCTTGGAATGTTGGCCAAATGCATTTCTCCCAGGTAGCTCGTGGTTAGGAAGGGTGGTAGTTACTCCCTGAATACTCCCTGAATATAGACACCCAAAAACTAACCTGAGATCAAGGAAGCTGAGCGTTAACAGTCCACTCCTAAAAATTTAACAATGGTGGGGAAATATGTGGATGAAAGGTTTGAAATGTATACTAAACTATAATTTAAAAGAAAAAATCTGGACTTTGTGCTTGAGATGGAAAAAAAATGTAACTTTTATTTTGGGTTTTACCTATTAGACTGATATGTGTTTATAGAAATGGCTAGCTTATATTACTATGGAAAAGCAAAAAGTTGTGGTTTGATGTTAATGCTTTATTCTAGTGCAACAGAGGGAGTGGGAAGTCAATGTTTCTTCTTTCCTTTTCCTCAGTTTCTCCTCGCTTTTCTCTCCCCCTTTGTCCCCCTCCCCCACTGTGTCTTCCTATTTACTTTTTCATTTCATTTTATAATCTAATACAAATGTTAAACTGAGAAACTTAACAATGGAACCGGCTTTAGTTCAAAACTCCAGCAGGTTTTTAGGGCTTCCCTGAAATGGATCCATAGAGTTGGAAGGGACCTTGTAGGTCATCTAGTCCAACCCCTTTTTGTGGTTGGATCAGGGATTAAAAAGATATCCTCGGCTGAACGGCCACAATTGAGCCCAACATCTCCGTTGCTAAGCGAGACATTGGTTACGTGAGTCTTGCTCCATTTAACGAACGTTCTTGCCACCGTCATTAAATGAATCTGGTTTCCCCATGGACTTTGCTTGTCAGAAGGTTGCAAAAGGAAATCACGTAACCACGGGACACTACAACCATCATAAGTCCATGCCAGTTGCCAAGCGTCTGAATTTTGATCATCTGACCACGGGGATGCTGTAACAGTCATAAGTGTGAAAAACAGTCCTAAATCACATTTTCCAATGCCGTTGTAACTTGGAACGGTCACTAAACAAACCTTTGTAAGTCGAGGACTAAATCTGCATAGGTAATTTAACTCTCGGTCCCGGCTCTATGACTTACTATGTTAAAACGGCAGCCTTCGTTCTCCTATTATTATTATTATTATTTATTGAATTTCTATACCGCCCTTCTCCCGAAGGACTCAGGGCGGTGAACAGAATAAGATTTCATATACATATAATAATTTTTTTTTAATAAACAGTAAATAATAAATTGAGTCAACTTGGTGTATCTGCTAAGAGCTTGGCATAGAATTTAGATGTTTATGCCAGCCCTGCTTGTTGGAAGAGAAAGGTCTTCAGGGCACGTCGGAAAGTGCGAAGATCTGGGATTATTCGTATTCCAGGGGGTATTTTGTTCCAAAGAGTAGGTGCCCCCACAGAGAAGGCTCTCTCCCTTGGAACTACTAGACGACATTGTTTTAATGATGGTACTATGAGTAGGCCTACTCTGTGAGAGCGTATTGGTTGGTGGGAGGTTATCGGTTGCAGCAGGTGGTCTCGTAAGTACTCAGGTCCTAAGCCATGGAGCACTTTAAAGGTAAGAACCAACACCTTGAAGCGCACTCGGAAGGCCACCGGAAGCCAGTGCAGCTCGCGTAGAAGAGGTGTTACATGTGAGCGCCATGTTGCTCCCATAATTACTCGCGCGGCCGCATTCTGGACCAGTTGGAGCTTCCAAGGGGAGCCCCATGTAGAGAGCATTGTAGTAGTCAAGTCAGGAAATGATGAGGGCTTGAGTGACTGTGTGTAATGAGTCCCGGTCTAGAAAGGGACGCAATTGGTGAATCAGGCAAACCTGATAGAAAGCTCCTCTGGCCACAGCTGTTATATGATCTATATTCCTTTTTCTTAAAAATGAGTCAACGGGGAGTTCAATTTATTGTTAAAAGTGTGTAAATCATCTAATTGGTTCTTCTTTTCCATTGCAGTTAAACAATTCCCACACGGGTCTCTTCACGGTGTTCACAGGCAAGGACAACATTAACAAAACTCACATGGTGGATTCTTGGAATGGATTAAAAAAGGTAAAAACAAAAAATATTTTCAGTCACTGCTTTCCCCCCCCCTTTTTTAAGGAAGGAAAGCTGGAAAGCCGTAATGAAAGAATGCCCATAAGTGCTGCATAATTAAATGGGAGCCCATCTGTCAGAAATGGTGTAGGGCCTCCCGCTTGGGCAGGGGGTTGGACTAGATGACCTACAAGGTCCCTTCCAACTCTGTTCATCTGTAAGATCATCCTCGACGTACAACAGTTCATTTTAGTGGCCATTCAAAGTTACAGCGGCACCGGAAAAAAACTGACTGACGACCGTTTTTCACACTTTACGACCATTGCAGCATCCCCCACGGTCAAAATTCGGACGCTTGGCAAACTGATTCACATTTATGACCGTTGCAGTGTCCCGGAGTCAGGCGATCCCATTTTGCGACCGTCTGGCAAGCAAAGTCAATTGGGGGAATTAACAACCCTGTGACTAATTTAACAATCTGCAGTGATTCACTTAACCATGAAAGGTCGTAAAACGGGGCAAAACTCCCTTAACAAATGTGTCCCTTAGCAGTAGAAGTTTTGGTCTCGATTGTCGTTGTAACTTGAGGACTGCCTGTATTTCCCCGATATTTTCATAGAGGCTTTGTGGTGTACATTCAGAGACCGATGAACAGAAACTGCTCCTCACTTCGTAACGCTTCTTTTTTCCATGCCAAGAGATAAGGAGCCCTATTTCCATTTTTTGTTTGTTTTGCTAACAGACAGATCTGATATCAGGGCGTTTTCCTCTAACCGTCTCAGGATTAATTAATATCTGGAGCAGGAATGTGAGGTGAATCACTGCAGGCCCTTTGCAAAAAGCAGATGCATTTCCCAATGGAAATAACACCTCCGCCATCAGATAAGACATCAGAAATGCTCACTCCTGGCACCTCGATGTTACTGGACTACATCTCCCATCATCCTGATTTTAAGCTTTTTTTTTTTTTTTTTGCCTGAAGGACATGTAGATTATAGTCCGACTAACCCCCAAAGACTCAGGTCACCTTGAATGAGATGGGCATCCGCAGAAATCGGATAAATAAAATATTTTCACCTCCACTTCAGCAGCAGACCGTGAATTATCTTATATAAAGGAATTCAGTCCTCTGCTCATGTGTAAACTTGATTTTGGAGGCACATCAAAGAGTTCCTCAAGAGTTTTATTTCCATATTTTTTTTCTGGGTAGATTGTTGTTGTTCTTTTTTTTTTTTTTTTGGTGCAATCTGTTTTATTCAAAGTCTGGCTGCTATGCAGAACTTTCTGCTAGAGATCTTTTCCTTCCTAACAGCTCACTGTCCGTCTTTCTTTCTTTCCTTCTTTCTTTCTTTCTCCACTTTCTTTCCTTCTGTCTTTCTTTCTGTCTTTCTCCTTTCTTTCTTTCTTTCTCCTCTTTCTTTCTGTCCTTTCTTTCTCCTTTTTCTTTCTTTCTCCACTTTCTTTCTTTCTCCTCTTTCTTTCTGTCTTTCTTTCTTTCTCCTCTTTCTTTCTTTCTCTTTCTGTCTTTCTCTCTTCCTTCCTTCCTTCCTTCCTTCCTTCCTTCCTTCCTGTCTGTCTGCCTGTCTGTCTGTCTTTCTAACATAATCCAGTTTCTCATTTTGCATAGAGAGAGAGAGAGAGAGAGAGAGAGAGAGAGAGAGAGAGAGAGAGACCGGTAGATATTGGCCTGGTGACATTAGCTCACCAATCTGCTACAGAGAAAATATAGCATGGAAGGAATTAGCTTAATGCAAGGTAAGAAGTTGGATGAACATTTTTTTAGACTGTTGTTCTTAGCTTCAGACTTGGCAACTTTAAGACTTGTGGACTTCAGTTCCCACAATTCCCCAGCCAGCATGGAATTCTGGGAGTTGAAGTCCACAAGTCTTAAAGTTGCCAAGTTTGGAGAGTCCCTGTTTTAGAGGAAAGCATGGGGTCTCACATCAACCTGGCTTCTGGATATTAAAGTCCCTTCTCTCTTGGCAGGTATCCTATTGGCATTCTGAAGAATGTAACATGATCAATGGAACCGCTGGAGAACTGTGGCCACCGTTCATGACCCCATCTTCATCAGTGGAACTCTATACTCCTGATGCCTGCAGGTGAGTTTCTTGCAAATTCTCGTATTTACAAGACCTTGTCCTACACTAAAATTCTGCCCAACGTTTCAAATATATCTTCAGTGCAATGAGCAAATGGCCAAATATCCAACTCTCATGTCCCACCATCACTCAAATACATTTTCTTGGGATTAGATCTCCGTGAAATGTTGCTGGTCATCCCATGTGGACCCTTCAATCTCTTATTCCACTCAATTTGAAGGCAGCATCTCAGTACCCAAGTTGTCCATCTCCATTCTCAACTTTCAGACATGTTTCTTCTTTGCTGGTCCATCTTCTTCATTCATGGTTCATCTTCTTTCATGATTCAACTTCTTCCTTCATGGTCCATCTTCTTCCTTCATGGTCCATCTTCATTCATAATTCATCTTCGACCTTCATGGTCCATTTTCTTTCTTCATGGTCCATCTTCCTTCATGGTCCACCTTCGTCCTTCCTGATCCATCTTCTTCCTTCATGATCCAACTTCTTCATTCATGGTCCATCAGGATGCTGATTTTCCAAGGAACCTCTGTCTCAATTGACCTCTCTCTTAATCTGTCTCTTTCAGGTCGATTAAATTAAACTACACCCAATCTGGAAAATTCAAAGGCATACCAGTTTATCGTTACACGGCTCCGAAGACCCTGTTTGCCAACGGGACTGTCTACCCACCCAACGAGGGCTTTTGCCCGTGCCGGCAATCCGGAATCCAGAACATTAGCTCCTGTAAATTAAGTACGTCTGCTGAACCTTTTGGTTCTACAAAGGATGTCCGAAGTTACCCATTTTCCTGAAAGGGGCTGGTTTTGAAGAGGATTTAACACAAGTAGACTAATAGCTGATGAAGACTCTAAGATCTGAAGGGATGGTGTTATTAGATTAATATAAAGAAAACTATACATTTGGCACTTACTTTCAGTAAAGGTGAGATTAGAAAAGTTTAGCTGAAATAATGCAGCTAAAGGGAAGTCATTCCAGGGGATAAAGTACAGGTACAGGTTAAGAAAGTGGGAAGGGACCTTGTAGGTCATCTAGTCCAACCCCCCGCCCAAGCAGGAGACCCTACACTATTTCTGACCGATGGCAGTCCAGTCTTTTCTTGGAAGCCTCCAGTGATGAAGCTCCCACAACTTCTGAAGGCAACTTCTGTTCCACTGGTTGATTGTTCTCACTGTCAGGAAATTCCTCCTTATTTCTGTAAGATACAACTTACAACACTTCATTTAGTGACTGAAGTTACAACAGCACTGAAAAAAGTGACTTATGACCGTTTTTCACAATTACGACGTTTCCAGCATCCCCATGATCATGCGATCAAAATTCAGACGCTTGGCAACTGCTTCATATTTATGACGGTCTCGGTGTTGTGATTTCCCAAGTCAGTGGGGAAGCCAGATTCACTTAACAACCCTGTTACCAACTGAACCGTCACAACGATTCGCTTAACAACAGTGGCAAGAAAAGTCGTTGAATAGGGCAACATTCCCTTAACAAATGTTTCACTTAGTGACATCAATTTTGGGCTCCGTTGTGGGGATGATGACATGACCCAGGACACCACAACCGTCATAAATATGAGTCAGCCAAGTGTCTGAATTTTTTTTAAACGTTTTTTATTAATAATACAAAATTTAAAAAAACATTGGACATATGACATCACTTGTTCCAAACATCTTTCGTCACTTTACAATAATATTAGTACTCATATAAACATATAGTTCTTAAACATACATTTATCTAGCCAAGACAAATGTATACTGTTAGAACAAAAATATAGATGTTATTATAGACAAGTGTCTGAATTTTGATAACCTGACCCATGGGGGATACCGCGACGGTCGTAAGGGTGAAAAACGGTCATAAGTCAGCATTTTTCGATGCTGTTGTAACTTTGAATGGTCACTGAACAAACTGTTGTTTGTTGAACAAACTGTTGTAAGTCAGGAACTGTTCTTTTTCACGTTCCTGATACTCAGTCGATTTGAGCTGGATGACCTTTGAGTGTCCCAGATCACATGCTCAAAAGTTTCACCTTTGCAATGATCATGATGGGCAGGTGCCCAGGAATTAGCAACCAAGGGAGTGAACTTCATGGAGCTTGTAGGAAGCGGTTTCTTTCCACCTCTTCTTTGCATTAATGACACGCAGTGGCTTCGGTCACCTTCCTGTTTTCGTGGCTGGGCCGGTGTAGAGCAACGAGGAATTCCATCCAAATTCTTGGCTGACTGGTCAAGCTTTAAGTAGATGAACATGGCTTGCACATTTACATCATTTGTGTTTTTCCCCTCCTGGTTTCTGCTTGTTCATCTCCATCCGGAAAGATCTTTTTAGATCGCCGATGATCAGCCGCCCTTTTTTCAAATTTTTCCTTTGCATTACCTGTGCAATTAATTTTTTTAAATTTTCCATTTGCATAACCTGTGCAGTTTTTTTATTTGCAATTTGCATAATCTCCGTAATTTTTAAAAATTTCCATTTGCATAACCTGTGTAATTTTTTTATTTGGAATTTGCATAATCTCCGTAATTTTTTTAAATTTGCAATTTGAATAACCTGTACAGTTTTTTAAATTTGCAATTTGCATAACCTGTGCAATTTATTTTTAATGTTTTTCCATTTGCATAACCTGTGCAATTTTTTTAATTTGCAATTGGCATAATCTCTGTAATTTTTAAAATTTCCCATTTGCATAACCTGTGCAATTTTTTTATTTGGAATTTGCATAATCTCCATAATTTTTTTAAATTTGCAATTTGAATAACTTGTACAATTTTTTAAATTTGCAATTTGCATAACCTGTGCAATTTATTTTTAATTTTTTTCCATTTGCATAATCTGTGCAATTTTTTTTATTTGCAATTTGCATAACAATTTGCCAAAGTTACATTCTTGCCCTGGTGGAAATCTCTGGGCTATGCTGTGCTCCTATATAAAACTTCGGCCAATAAAAAACAGTAGCATCTAGCATTGGCTTGCTACACCATTGAGGATTTGACTCAAACAAGTTACTGGTCCTCATGATCGATGGAACTTCAAAGCAAGGGTCCAAAATGAAAAATCGGACCTCGTGTAAAGTGCCAGTGGGATGAATCCTGCCCATGTTTACAGGTAGTCCTCGACATATGACTGTAATGGAGCCTGCCAATATATGGTCACAAATCGGGTCGCTCATGTGAATGACTCAGTTTTATGACCTTTTTAGCCGCAGTCGTTAAAGCAAACGAGGCCATCATAAAACAAACCCATTGTTCACTACGGCACGGTTTCTTAAAATCAAAAATGAAACCGTCGCAAAGCGAGATCCCAGGATCCCAGGACGCTGCAAACGACAGTAAATGCAGCCGTTTGCAGCTGGGGTCAGGTGGCTGTAGGGGAGGGGCCCGGCTCTCGGAACTTCAAATCCAGGTTGCAACTCCCTTTTTGCACTTCGAACTAAGCAATCAGTCATAAATCGAGAACTACCCGTCGGAAAAAGAGCTTGTTACATTCTGATTTTAATTCCCTCCCCCCCTTGTTTTAAAGATGCGCCAATATTTATTTCTCAACCTCATTTCCTAAACGCTGATCCGGCTTTATTGGACACGGTAGATGGTTTGCATCCCAACGAAAAGGACCACGATCTGTTTGTCGATATCCACCCGGTGAGTTTGCCTTTTAACTCCAATTGGTGGTTATGGCCAGGGGCGGAATTCAAATTTTTTTACTATCGGTTCTATGGGCGTGGCTTGGTGGGTGGGTGTGGTGTGGCTTGGTGGGCATAGCAGGGGAAGAATATTGCAAAATCCCCATTCCCTCCCCACTCCAGAGGAAGGATACTGCAAAATCCCCATTCCCACTCCACTCCAGGGGAAGGATGCTGTAAAATCCCCATTCCCTCCCCACTCCAGGGGAAGGGTACTGCAAAATCCCTATTCCCTCCCCATTCCAGGGGAAGGATACTGCAAAATCTCCATTCCCACCCCACTCCAGAGGAAGGATATTGCAAAATCCCCATTCCCTCCTCACTCCAGGGGAAGGATACTGCAAAATCCCCATTCCTTCCCCCCTCTAGGAGAAGGATATTGCAAAATCTCCATTCCCACCCCACTCTAGGGGAAGGATATTGCAAAATCTCCATTCCCACCCCACCCTGGGGCCAGCCAGAGGTGGTATCTGCCGGTTCTCCGAACTGCTCAAAATTTCCACTACCGGTTCTCCAGAACCTATCAGAACCTGCAGAATTTCACCCCTGGTTACAGCTATTAAATCAGAACGATAATTGCAGGTTCTAACCTTTTATCAATCCTTTTGCTCAAACAGGACAGGCGAGTACAATCCCAGTGAGGTTCCCTGCCCATTTACTTCAACTTGATTAGCCCTGTTTACATTTCAAGCTTTGATGAATCCGAAAAGAATTATTATCATTATTATTATTTTAAAAAGAGGGGGAAGACTTCCACATTGTGGGTGGAAGTTATTTTAATATTGGCTTTGCCATTTTGGAAAACATCCCTCTTTTGAGAGCCTCAAAGAATTGCTTTGGCTTTTATTATGATAATTGTCAACATTGTTTTTCACATTTGCAATTGGTGCCTTATATTTCCTTTTTTTTAAATTCATTGTTTACAGTCAGCTTTGGTGAGAAGGGTGGCAGCCGGAATAAATTTGATTAAATAAATAAATGAAATCCTAAGAATGTATTGAAAGGAAGCCAGGAACCTCCCTTTGCATTTGTATCCTAAAAGGAAATAGCTTGAGGGATTCATTTGCTCATCTAAACTAAAGCGATCATTTAAAAGTTCCTTCCCTACCAGGTCATCAAAGTTCTTTAAGTGGTGGCTAAAAGTCAGCTAAACTTTTCAATGGACTTTGGGGCACAATTTGAGAAACCCAGGGAAGTCTTTGTTGGCAATAAATAGCCTTTGCCATCATTCTTGATTGGCGATTATTATTACCTTTTTTTTTTTAAGATCGCTTGGCGATGGCAAGACTGAGTGAATAAATGATTAAATGAATGAATTCTGTGGCTGTAACAAGTGCACAAATCAAGTTTGTAACTATGGATAAATTGGCCGAGAGGGGCTCGAGGAAAAGATGAAATCCTTACTTAGAGAGGCTTGTGATTAAAATCTGTGTTTAGGGATTTGGCTGTGAGAAAGACCCCTTGTGTGCTGTAGAGTAGAGTAGAATGAGAGAAGTAGAATAGGAGTGGAGAGTGGAGTGGAGTGGAGTGGAGTGGAGTGGAGTGGAGTGGAGTGGAGTGGAGTGGAGTAGAGTAGAGTAGAGTAGAGTAGAGTAGAGTAGAGTAGAGTAGAGTAGAGTAGAGTAGAATAGAATAGAATAGAATAGAATAGAATAGAATAGAATAGAATAGAATAGAAAATATGGAATGGAATGGAGTGGAGGGAGTGGAGTGGAGTGGAGTGGAGTAGAGTAGAATAGAGTAGAGTAGAGTAGATAGAATGTGAGAAGTAGAATAGGAATGGAATAGAATAGAATAGAATAGAATAGAATAGAATAGAATAGAATAGAATAGAATAGAATAGAATAGAATAGAATGTGAGAAGTAGAATAGGAATGGAATGGAATGGACTAGACTAGACTAGACTAGACTAGACTAGACTAGACTAGACTAGAATAGAATAGAATAGGAGTAGAGTAGAGTAGAGTAGAGTAGAGTAGAGTAGAGTAGAGTAGAGTAGAGTAGAATGTGAGAAGTAGAATAGGAACGGAACGGAACGGAACGGAACGGAACAGAACAGAACAGAACAGAACAGAATTTTTTATTGGCCAAGTGTGATTGGACACACAAGGAATTTGTCTTGGTGCATATGCTCTTCTCCTCAGGAGGAGAGGAGAGGAGAGAAGATAGAAGAGAAGAGAAGGAGGGGAGGGGAGGAGAAGAGACAAGGGAAGGGAAGAGGAGGGAAGGGGAGGGAAGGGGAGGGGAGAGAAGAGGAAAGAGGAGAGGAGAGGAGAGGAGAGGAGAGGAGAGGAGAGGAGAAGAGAGGAGAAGAGAAGAGAAGAGAAGAGAAGAGAAGAGAAGAGAAGAGAAGAGAAGAGAAGAGAAGAGAAGAGAAGAGAAAATAATCTGGAAGGGACTTTGGAGGTCTTCTAGTCCAGATCCATGCTCAGTTGGACAAGTGACTGTCTAATCTCTTCTTAAAAACCTCCAGTGATGGAGAGCCCACAATATCTGGAGGCATCTTCTGTTCCACTGCTTAATTGTCCTCACTGTTAGGAAGTTTCTCCTTAATTCCAGGTTGTTTCTCTCTTTGATTAGTTTCCATCCTTTGTTTCTCTGGTGCTTTGGAGAATAATTTGTCCCCCTCTTCTTTGTGGCAGCCCCTCAAATACTGGAAGACTTCTATCATGTCACTCCCAATTCTTCTTTTCTTTAGACTAGCCAAACCCAAATCCTGTAGCTGTTCTTCATCAGTTTTAGTCTCCAGGCCTTTGGTCATCCTAGTTGCTCTTCTCTGAACCTTTTTTTTCCAAAGCCTCAACATCTTTTTTATAGTATGGTGACCAAAACTGGTTGCAGTATTCCAGGTGTGGCCTTACTAGGCCTTGTGAAGACAGATCAGTACAGGTAGAACCATTCAAAGTTACAATGGCAGTGAAAAAAGCGACTTACGACCATTATTCACACTTATGACCATTGGTGCCAATGCTCGCACGATTTACATTTGGATGCTTGACAACTGATTCGCATTCATGACGGTCACAGTGTCCCTTTGGCGACCATCCGACGAGCAAAGTCCATGGGGGAAACTAGATTCACTTAATAACCGGGTTACTAATTTAAGAAGTGCTGTGATTCGTTTAACAAATGTGGTGAGTCGTAAAAGTCGTAAAATGGGGCAAAACTCAACCGAACAAGTCTCTCCCTTAGCAGCGTAAATTTTGGGCTCAGTTGCGGTCGTACGTTCGAGGAGCGCCCCTATTTCCCCCAATATTTTCATGCAGGCTTTGTGGTGTACAAATTCAGACAAACAGCAACTTCGTAATTATTATTAACCCGTCATGCTAATGGGATTCCTTTGCAGACTTTCTGAGTTTTGCCCCAGATAACAGAATTATTTCTGAAATGCAAAAAATCGATGACATGGACAAGGGTGTTTCTGGAGAAATGCTTGACAAATGCTTCCTTGGAACTGGGGCGCCGCTTCCTACTTCTTCTTCTTCATCATCTTTTCCTTCTCTTTCTCCTCCTCCTCCTCCTGCTCTTTCTCGTTCTTTTTCTTCCTGTTCTTCTCCTTCCTTTTCTCCTTCTTCTCCTTCCTCTGGCCTTTTTCTTCCTTCCCTTTCTCCTCCTTCTTCTTCACCTTTTCCTCTTTGGCTTTTTCTCCTTTACCCTTTCCTTCTTCCTCTTCTTCTTTCTTCTCATACTCCTGGTTCCATTTTTCTCCTTGCTCTCCTCCTCCTCCTCATTCTTCCTCACTCTTCTTCTTCCTCTTCTCCTTCTCCTCCTTCCATCCTCTCTTCATTCCTCTTCTCCTCCTCCTTCCATCCTCCTTCCTCTTCTTCTCCTTCCTCTCCTCCTCCTCCCATCTTTGTTCTTCTTCCACTTCTCCTTCCTCTCCTTCTCCTCCTTCCATCCTTCTCCTCCTTCCTCTTCTCCCCTCTTCTTCCTCCTATCTTTCTTCTCCTTCCTCTTCTCCCCTCCTCTTCTTCCTATCTTTCTTCTTCCTTTCCTCCTCCTTCTTCCATCCTCCTCCTCCTTCCTCTTCTCCCCTCCTCTTCCTCCTTTCTTCTTCCTCTTCTTTTCCTTCTTCCACCCTTCTCCTTTTTCCTCTTCCTCTTCTCCCCTCCTCCCCATTTTTCTCCTCCTTCCTCTTCTCCTCCTCGTCCTCCTTCCTCTTCTCCTCCTTCCTCTTCTCCCCTCCTCTTCCTCCTATCTTTCTTCTTCCTCTTCTTCTCCTCCTCCTTCCACCCTTCTCTTTCCTCTCCTCCTCCTTGTCCTCCTTCCATCTTTCTCCTCTTCCTCCCCTCCTCTTCCTCCTATCTTTCTTCTTCCTCTTCTTCCTCTCCTCCCCCATTTTTCTCCTCCTTCCTCTTCTCCTCGTCCTCCTTCCATCTTCTCCTTCCTCTTCTCCTCCTTCCTCTTCTCCATGTCTTCTCCTCCTCCTCCCATCCTCCTCCCCCTTCTCTCTACCGCAAAACAGCAGGTTAGTTCCAACTCTGAGGCTCCTCCTCTTTTGCCCTCCCACTCCTACCTTCGGATCAGCCGAGAGCAGTTGGGAAAGGGCCAAAGGCACATCCGTGTTTCCTCATGGATCCCGGAGGCAGCCTTGCTTAAGTTTTCACGCGATGGGACAGCGATAAAACGACCAAGCTTGCAAATACCCGATGTTCTGGTGCCTCTGAGCTCCCCGTGTCCTCGTTTTCTTACCCGATGTTCTGGTGCCTCTGAGCTCCCCGTGTCCTCGTTTTCTTACCTGGGTCCATGGATACCGAAGAGATGTTGAGCCACTCTTAATCTCTCCTCCGAAACCTCCCCGTTTTCCCACATAACCCTTGCAGGCATTCTCACGTTCAAGCCTTTCAAGAGACAAGCCGTTTGAACCCAGTTTAAGATTTTTTAGATGGGTTAGTAACTATAACTAGTAGATAGTAACTACAACTACCTACAACTACTAGTAGTTACTACTAGTTACCAGTAGTAGTAACAAACAACTGTGTTAGTAACACGGTTGTTAATTGAATCTGGCTTCCCCATGGACTTTGCTCATCGGAAGGTCACAAAAGGAGATTACATTGTCCGGGAACACTGCAACCGTCATAAATATGAGTCAGTGTCCAAGCATCTGAATTTCGATCCCGTGACCATGGGGATGCAGCAAGGGTCATAAGTCTGAAAAGCAGTCCTAATTTGGCACTTCTTAAATATGGACCATCGTACATCTTCTCTATGTGAATTTTCCGAAAGATGCCCTAATTAATTCATGAGCCACGAGCCAAACTTCAAAAGAAATACAGTCATTTTATTAGGAGCACCATTTCGGCCATATTCGGATGCAGTTAGAACTAATCCCACGTAGATTTACGTTCCCCTATGACCCTGTCTCTCCCCTCCTCCCTGGCCATGTCATAAATCACATTCTCCAGTTAACCACTTTGGCTGGCTGTGAAACCCAACACTCTCCTACTGATTGCGGTAAGAAAGCATCTGTGGAATGTAGCTTCAGTTAGGGAAATCAATCAGCTCCATCAGTTCTCCCTCCCTCCTGCTCACAGCAACTTGAAAACTTTGCAAGTTGACATTCTAGATGGAGGGGTTGCAGCTGGCATAGATAGTCCTCGGCTTACGACCACAATTGTGCCCCAAATTTCCTTTGATAAGCGAGACAGCTGTTAAGTGAATCTTGCCCCATTTTACGACCTTTCTTGCCAGAGTTGAGTGAATCATGCAGTTGTAGTTAGTAACTACAACTAGTCGTTAGTAACTACAACTACCTACACCTAGTAGTAGTTATTAGTTGTAGGAACTGACAACAGTGTACGGTTGTTAGTTGCTACTATAACTAGTAACTAGTAGTTGTAGCTAATCATAGTTACTATTAGTTGTAGTTACTAACTAACCATTAGTAACACAGTTGTTAATTAATTCTGGCTTCCCCATGAACTTTGCTCGTCAGAAGGTCACAAAAGGAGATTACATTGTCCCAGGACACTGCAACCGTCATAAATATCAGTCAGTGGCCAAGCATCTGAATTTCGATCCCGTGACCGTGGGGATGCGGCAACGGTCATAAATCTGAAAAACAGTCCTAGGTCCCTTTTTTCCCCCAGCGCCGTTGCGACTTTGAACGGTCACTAAGTGAAGTGTTGTAAGTCGAGGACTACCGTTATACCGGCAAGTCAGACCGCAGGCGCATGCAGCTTCCTGGATAAAATTTTGTTCTGCTGTGAACGCGCCCATTTCATTTACGCGTGTGCTGCTCCGTGCGTGCCAAATTGTGGGGTGATTTGGGTTCATTTTGTTCCCCGGGTGGCCTGATTACATTCCTTTTGCTAATTTTTCTGGGGGGGGAGGGTTTAAGATTTCGTCGACTACAACGCCTTGCTTAGAGAGGCTTTGGACCCCTCGCCAGAGGGGAGGGGGAAAAGAAATCAATGGGATCTTTGTAACCAAAACAACTAAATCCGTTTCTTCTTTTTTTCTGCAGCTGACGGGAATTCCCATGAACTGTTCGGTCAAAATACAACTGAATCTGTTCATAAAACACGTCTCCGGCATCTGGTAGGTTGTGGGCCAAGTGAGGGGAGGGAGGTTCGAAGAGGGGATTTCTTTGGCTCTATCTGCCAATCCTCCCTAATCCCTTGCCAGGGAGCTGGGCAGCCAAGACGGAGTTGGCGGAACAATGCCCCTTACAGAGCCCGAGACTCAGACAGAAAAGGGGGCACAAGGAGATGGGCCACGTGGTTTTAAAATCCATCTTCTCTCTTGATTTATCCAGGCAAACCGGACAGATTAAGCCCGTGGTTTTGCCCCTGATTTGGTTTTCCGAGGTAAGTGTGGGTCTGTCTGCATGCTTACACATACATACATACATACATACATACATACATACATGCATACATACATACATATATACAAACACACACAGAGGGGGGAGAGAGAGAGACAGAGAGAGAGAACACCTGAGAAGAGGTATATAGTTTACATTAACTTTTAATCAGGTTAACTCCTTCTCTTTTTTTTCCTTCCTTCCTTCCTTCCTTCTTCCTTCCTTCCTTCCTTCCTTCCTCCCTTCCTCCCTTCCCTCCCTCCCTCCCTCTTTGTCTCCCTCCCTCCCTCCTTCCTTCCCTCCTTCCTTCCTTCCTCCCTCCCTCCCTCTCTCTATCTAAATATTCATTACTTAAATTGGTAATCTTGCACAATAGTCTTTTTTTATATGCAGTAGTGGCCAAAATTGTGGAAACCTTTTGGGCGAAAGTGTATTATTGAGGTTTGATGGCTAATAACACCACTTTTTTGGGGGGGGGGAGTTTTAAAATAATCCTATTCCACTGCTGGAATGTCTTGGGAATAGCCCAGACCTTCACCCAATTGAAAATCTATGGAGCCGACTAAAGAAACTGGTTAGTCAGAAGCGACCCAGCAATAAAACCCAGTTAATAGATGCCATCATTCCATCTTGGTTTCACATTATTATAACAGCTGCAGAACTCAAAGACTTGGTTCACTCCATGGGAAGACGTTGTAAGGCCGTAATTCATGCTAAAGGTTACCTAACTAAGTATTAACTGACATGGGGATCATTTTTGTATATCTCGTTTTTTCTACGTGTTTCACTTGTCTTCTTTATACTGTAACTGCTATTCTAATAGCAAATCCTTCATAAAAGTTATTGCTTTATATTCTTGATTGAATTATCTTTCCATTGAGATATAATTTTATAATACTACTTCAAAAAAAAAAGTGGTGTTATTAGCTAGTTTTAGAAAATACACTTTTCCCAAAAGGTTTCCACAATTTTGGCCACTGCTGTATAATGGTTTATTTCACACTTATTTATTTATTTATTTATTATTTATTATTTCTATTTCTATACCGCCCTTCTCCCGAAGGACTCAGGGCGGTGTACAGCCTATTTAAAAACACAAAAACAAAAACAACAGTTAAAATTTAAAATCATTAAATAATTAGGCTCCAATTAAAATCCCAAAAATTTAAAATACCCCAATTTAAAATCGTTATGTTGATAGCCCGGCCTGGCGGAACAACAGGGTCTTCATAGCGCAGCGAAACACCCGGAGGTCGGAGATCTTACGTATTTCCGGGGGCAGTTCATTCCACAGGGCTGGGGCTCCCACAGAGAAGGCCCTCCCCCTGGGTGTTGCCAGCCGACATAACTTGGCCGATGGCACCCTGAGGAGACCCTCTCTGTGGGAGCGGACTGGTCGGTGGGAGGCTATTGGTGGCAGAAGTCGGTCTCGAAGGTACCCGGGTCCTATGCCATGGAGCGCTTTAAAGGTGGTAACCAACACCTTGAATCGCACCCGGAAGACCACTGGGAGCCAGTGCAGCTCGCGCAGGAGGGGTGTCACGTGGGCGCAACGAGTTGCACCCATAACCACCCGCGCGGCCGCATTCTGGACCAGTTGGAGCCTCCGAATGCTCTTCAAGGGGAGCCCCATGTAGAGAGCATTACAGTAGTCCAACCGGGAGGTGACAAGGGCATGAGTGACCGTGCGCAAGGCGTCCCGATCCAGAAAGGGCTGCAACTGGCGAATCAGGCGAACCTGATAAAAGGCCCCCCCTGGCCACGGCCGTCATGTGCTCTTCTAAAGACAGCCGTGCGTCCAGGAGGACACCCAGATTGCGAGCCCTCTCTGTGGGGGGCAAAGATTCCCCCCCAATAGTCAGCGATGGCACCTGCTGACTATATCGGGGCGCCGGAAGCCACAGCCACCGGTCTTGGAGGGGTTGAGTCTGAGCCTGTTCCTCCCCATCCAGGCCCGCACGGCCTCCAGGCAGCGGGACATCACATCAAGGGCATCGTTGGGGTGGTCTGGAGTGGAGATGTACAGCTGCGTATCGTCAGCGTACAGATGACACTTCACCCCAAAACCACGGATGATCTCACCCAGCGGCTTCACATAAATGTTGAACAGGAGAGGCGAGAGGACCGACCCTTGCGGCACTCCCCATGCGAGATGCCTCGAGGTCGACCTCTGTCCCCCTGCCAACACGAACTGCGAGCGGTCGGAGAGGAAGGAGGAGAACCACCGCAAAACGGTGCCCCCTATTCCTAACCCCCTCAACCGCTGCAGCATGATACCATGGTCGATGGTATCAAAAGCCGCTGAGAGGTCTAATAGGACTAGGACAGAGGAACAACCCCTGTCCCGAGCCCTCCAGAGATCATCCACCAACGCGACCAATGCCGTTTCTGTGCTGTACCCCTGCCTGAAGCCCGACTGGTACGGGTCCAGATAGATAGCTTCATCCAGGTGCCGGGGAAGTTGTCGTGCCACCACGCTCTCAACAACCTTCACCACAAAACGAAGGTTGGAGACTGGACGATAGCTGGCTAATTCAGCCGGGTCCAGGGAAGGCTTCTTGAGGAGGGGCCTCACTACCGCCTCTTTCAAGGCGGCAGGAAAGGCACCCTCACTCAAAGAAGCACTTATAATCCCCTGGAGCCAGCCTCGTGCAACCTCCCGGGAGGCCAGTACCAACCAGGAGGAACACGGGTCCAATAAACACATGGCGGCACTAGTCTTACCCAGGACCCTGTCCACATCCTCGGGAGTCACAGGATCAAACTCCTCCCAGATAACATTCTCAAGACCTGCCCTCGTCTCCTCCCATGGACTCATCCAGTCGGAGTCCAAGCCATCCCGAATCCGAGCGACTTTATCATGCAGGAATTGCACAAAATCCTCGGCACGACCCTGCAAGGGATCTTCCCGCACTCCCCCCCGAAGAAGGGAGTGGGTCACCCTAAACAAGGCGGCTGGGCGGTTCTCTGCAGATGCGGTAAGAGCGGAAAAGTGGTTAGACTTTGCCGCTTTTATCGCCACTAGGTAGGTCTTGATATAAGACCTCACCTGTGTCCGGTCGGAGTCGGA